TGATTTTACTATTAAAAAAAGAGGTGATTCCTATTTTAAGAAATCAATGCACAAAGAGTGATTTGAATTTTGATTCCGAAATGTGAACAAGAAAGAATTTTATTGAAAATGTGATTTCAATTTTATGCCCCAAAATACAATCTTGACTTGAAAGAATTTCTGCACAAAAAATGTGATTTTAAGCCTATAACTGAAAGTTTAGACAAAACCATCTGTTTTGGTAGGGCCAAATCAAAGGTGTTTGAGATTTATGCTCAAGGCTCAGTGTCAAGAGTGATTGCCTAAAATTTTCAATTATAAGCTTAGATCACCTAAGGCATTCGATTGATTTCCACGAATTTCAAAAATGAAAGTTTCAACCAAAAGTTAACAAGTAAAGAGAGAAACCATACTTACAGTGGATAACAAACTTTCAATCACATAAACATGCGAATGTAACGTGCGGCTGATTCCTACTCTAGACGGCTTAACAAAGTGAAGCTAAGAGGGTGATCTGACCGTCGCAATCTCCCGTTGGTGCCAGGTCCTCATAACTTCGGCTCAGTCGAAAAGGAATATCCTATAGTCACGCGGTCTCGCAGACAAAGATAAACACTTACAACATCAAGAGGAAATTTTCGGGGAAAAGAAAGGCAACCTCTACATCGCAATTTCACATTGGAGGTTGTATCTTTCTTAACACCATCCTAAAATATCCTATCGCGGCCCAGGTTCGGCAGCATGGTTGTGTGTGCAACAGTGTAATGCTAAAACATTTAAAGCATGCACAACAGTTTATAAACAAACAACGTTTCAAGAGTTCGAAAAAAATAAACATTTATTCCCAAACCCCAAACCTGCAAAACAAGGGGTCAATAATCACTCATCACCTTATAACTCCCAACTGCAATAACATTTTACACAACGTTAGCGGAAATCATTAGGACGATAATGCTGAAATCATTATCAGAAACTCGAATGACCACGACTCAAGGCTGAAATCATTAGGACGATAATGCATCATTTGGTATAACGTCTCGGAGACTCACAATTTAGCAGGAAAACTTAAAGCTAAGACAAGCAAGAGAGTACCCACCAAATCATGACAGCAGAAGGGACAGCGAAGCTGAAGAACTCTCTCATCCCTCGGAACAGCTCCATGGAGATCCTCACACAGGTTTTCATCTTCGCGCAATGGGGGGAATACTTCATGTACAATGCAAGCATAATCGCATTCAACTAATAGGACAGGCCTATGGCCATCGCTGCCCCAAGATTACGGAAGCTAGAGTTGAACGCCAGGGTCCGGCAGAGCGCTATGTGGAAAACTAGCGTCACGAGAGAGCTCACGAGCAGAGGGAAAACAAGGCTCTGGGTCTGAAAGTACCGGACCAGAGGTTGGAGAGTTCCGTAACCAAAGAGCGCGGGAATGAGGCAGGTGGCGAATTTACCGGCCTCGAGGGAGATCTCGAGGTCTTGACCCATGAGAACCAGTAGCTTTCCCATGAAGATTCACACTAGCGATAAGGGGACACAGACTAAGACAAGACAGAAAATACCGGTGTGGATATGGATGCTGAACTTTTGGTATTGCTCAGCTCCATATGCTTGTCCACAAAGAGTTTCGAGGGCGCTCGACATTCCGAACAGCATCGACAATCAACACGCGACATGGCTCAGCCAGTCACAGCAGAAATAAAAGCATCGAAGGCATATAAGCATACAAAGTTGGTGAACGAAAACGATGGATCCTGTTCTGTAAGCTCGACCACAAGCGTGCATATTGATTTCAGATATGTACAGTGTGGGTGTGTGTGAGATAGAGAGAGAGAGAGAGAGAGAGGTGCACGAGGGGACTGAAACCGGTGACTACGCAGAAGGAGATGGCGATGGCGATGGCGGTGCTGGCGAGAGAGAGAGCTCGCCGAGGTGCCCCACCATAATCACCAATACGATCAGCAGGAAGTATTGCGACAGGTTGACTGCTACCATCGGCCCTACTATGTACCCCATCCTCTTCGTCTCCTCCTTCAATGTCTTCCACCCCGAGCTCGAGCCGGAAATGTCATGGCCGCCGCCGCCTCAGTCTCCACCGCTACTCACTAACAGACTCTCGCTCTCCTCCATATGCAAATGTGTCGCGTGCCTCTCCCCTTCTCTCTCTCTCTCTCTCTCTCTCTCTCTCAAGCGCTCAGCTAGAGACATTCATGTTTCAACAGCTCCCATGATTTTCTTTTGGCCAAAGTAGAGCTTTGCAAGATGGGGTCTTGACTTTACCTGATGACACTATGAATGGTTTCATCGCGTCAGCGGCGCCCATAATATGACATCATGCCTACGTCAGATAATAACGCAACTAGGCACATCGCAATTACGAGCTCTTGAACATTGTTTCATGATTTTCAAGGCTTATTGTGCAAAGTTTTCTTTTTCACTATTAAGGAGAAATTTCGGATTATGTAATTACTACACCACCAGGCGTTCAAAATTTCGGCAAGTAAGGAATTCTTTTCAAAACTTGAAGACCAAGAGAATTAGAAACTTTGATAGTCTTAGATATATATGTGACTCTTATGGTTATTCTAAAAGAACATAGCTTGTTAGAAATAATTAGGATGATTCTCTAAGATATTTTTCCATATTAGAGATAATTAGGATATTCCCATGGCTGGAGTTGTTGCATAGTTTATAGCGCAAAGGCCGCGTCGTTCAATAACAGTTTTGAAAACAAAGCCAGCCATATCGACCACTTATTATTATGAAGCTAGCATCCTCGGTTGCGTTCATCCTGTTACCGTTTTAGTCAACAAAGCCAGCCCATGGCTACTTGACATCGGCGAACCAAATCTAGTCCAAGCGTTTTCAGAAATTTTTTTTACACTTGAGTTTGAGAGGATGTTAAAGATAATTAAGATAATTCTTTAGAATATTTTTTATAATAGAGATAATTAGGATATTTTTGTTGGTTTATTTCTCTCAAGATTGTGCGAAAATCTTCTCTTGATTGTGCATATCTTGATTGATATATGTTACTTTAAATAATCCTTTCATAATAAATAATAAAATTAAAATTTGCAAAACTCAAGATCAGGAAAATATTTTTTCAAAAATAATTGCTTGTATCGTTTACAAAAATAAATGAAAATATTTTTTGTAAACTTATTTTCTGGGTGATATGACAAATTATTTTTGGTAAATATTTTCAAACTCTTAAATTTTTCGTAAAATAAACGCACCCTCATTTAATATCTATTTACCAAAAAAGAAGCAAAAAAATCTCCCTAAAGCGATAGGAAGGCACTAGTGTCAAATCGTAGACATGGACAATTAACTTCGAAGAACGATGAGGATTCGATAGACATGTCGCGCGTGCAAATATTTTATCCACATTCAAACAAAATGTTTGCAGATTGCAGAAGAAATATATTAACGTTCGAAGGAAAAGACAAAGGAAGAGGGACAAAAACAAATCCTAATGAAACAGCAGCGAGGGGTGGTAGCAAACTAGCATACGACACCTGCTCGCCATCGGCATTGCCTCCCTGATACGAGGATTACGGTGTGCTTCAGGATAAGATAGGCACTTCTAAGAACTATCTGCAAAAGGTGAAAGATCTAAACTTAATCCGTAAATGAGATGTTCCACGAGCTTCCGGATAGCCGGGCCTTTGCACTCATGTCCCCGAATTATATAAAGGAAAAAGGGGTGCCGCCGTATCGGGTACGATGCATGTCGACCAATAAGTGAAAAGAAGAATTCCTGGGACCAGTTGGTTTGGCTGTACCGAGCCTGATAGGAGAAGCAGAGCTCTTGCAGTTCGCCCTCCTTCTCACTTTCAGTGCAAAAGGGACCCTGCATAAACAAAGAAGGACAAAGGAAGCTTGAGCACGTTGTGAGGGCCCTTTGGTTTCTCGGGTGATAATCTGGCTAAGACTACTTATCGCTTGTCGCTACTTATATTAAGGGAAGATGCATTATAACTAAATAAGTTACGGAATAGAAAGGAATGGGATGGAATGATGACCGAAAACACTATAATTTCAAACTCAGATTTTAAGGGAGTAAATGGAATCTTTTAGGGCGCGTTTGGTAACGCTTCTGTTTCTCTGTTTTTCTGTTTTTCTGTTCCCTGGAACAAAAAAAGAATAGAAACCTGTTTGGTAACGCATTTTATTTTTCTATTCCCAGAAATAAAAAAGTGGCCAAGAAATAGATTTGAAGCAGAAATAAGAAGTAGAAAATATCTACTTCTTTATTCTCAGAAATAGAAATAGAAATAGAAAGGTAAAAAGGGTTATATAAACCCTAAAATTTTTACTTCTTACCTCTTCTTCCTTTCGAGCAGCGGCTTCTTCGGCTCCTCCATCATCCGTCGTCTGCAGAGCAACGGCCACCACCCCCGTCATTGTGCGGATATGGTGACCTTGTTTAGTAAATTTGAGAGAAAATTGCATGCGTCTACAGATGCCTCGTGTAATCTAATGCAATCAATACAAGTGATATCACTGAATCAAGAACTGAAAAACTCGAGAGCTTGTGAATTGCGATGATCATTTTTCTGTTAGAGCTCTGCTTGAACTCAAATAATTGTATGAAAAGGAGAACATGGACTCAAACACAAGAAGAATAACTCGCAATCAACGTGTCATGACATGACACTGACTTAACACATCGACACGAATCGACACCTTTTATAATGAACAGTACTTTATAATCACATTAACCCATTTTCTAACAACACGAATAACTAATATGGAAATACCCACCACTGATCAAAATCTTTCGATCGACTGCAGTTAATTTCTAAATCTTCTTGAATAGTTGCAATCGAGTTCTTACAAGGCAGCAAGAATATTTCCTAGACAACAGCCTATGGAGGATGTCACTAAGGAAAAATTGAAGATTTGACGACAAGAAAAACTCGATTGCACTTCCCATAAAAACCCAAATAACTTGTGATGATTGCACCATGAATAGAAAGAGAATTGCATCCTGAATAGAAAGAGAATTGCATCCTAAATAGAAAGAGAATCTAGGGCTGTCCCAAGCTCCTCGTCATCTAGTTTCGGGCTACATGGGAAAGAACCATGCCCAAACCCAAAGAAGGGAAAAGATTATGTAGGTATAGCTGCTAAGAAGTCATCCACAATGCATAATTCTGATTTGAGTAGTGAAGAACAAAAATAATTCACCCGCTTTCCCCAATTTTTGCATGATTCTGGTCACGATTGAGGGCAACAATGTCTGTATCCTGATAAAGAGCTCCTTCCAGATGACAGGGAAATGAGTGTATATAATCATCTTGAAGAGCCGAGACAACGAATATTTGCGTCCGTTATGGCAGTCAGTGCTGCTATTTTGGGATGCTTTGCATTCTCAAAAGAATTAATAAGGATCCTGGAAGCTCTCGTCAAAACACAAGGTGTTCAATTTCTACAACTGGCTCCCGGGGAATTCTTCTTTATAACTTTGAAGGTCTCTCTCTCTCTAGTATCCTTTGTACAAGTAATGTGATTTCATCACCAATGTGGTTTTCATGGATCCATCGTGACCATAATATCAGAATTTACAGCTTCAAACATAATTGTACTAGTTCATTGGTGACTGAGAAAACAAAACTAGCAGAATATGTTCGTTAGGTCCGCTTGCACAATTGCATCATTTATTACATGGACCTACCAATTGGGTTGACTCCTGTTGCTTCGTTGTCTGAATCAACAGATCGAAACAATATGCCTGAGCTCTTTCATATTATCAAGTTGTACAAACTGTAGAAGAGTCGATATATACCTCCGTATGGCGTATTTGCTTGATTGTGTGATGTAATGTATATGATGAATGGCGTGCTGTTACAATTTAAGTCTTTTATTTCATACTGCAGGTTTCTGACTACTGCGGTCTTCTCCTAGGAAGCCCCGTTTTTCTCTTTGAGATCATAGCGTTTGTTCTTCCAGGTCTAACGAGAGCAGAAAGAAGATTCCTTGGGCCTGTTGTTTTTGGGGTCTTCTGTACTTTTCTATGCTCGCATTGTGCTCTCCTACCATTTCAAACTTTTATCAAGACGTTTTAAAATATGTTTCATGAGGGTTCTCTCGCCTGTGTTTTGACTTAACCATGGAGATTGTTTCTGAAAATTTCATGCAATGTTTCTTGGAGGATGATACCTTAACAGATGGGGGATCGCAATGTGGACATAGTTTTCATAATGGAAACAGGGCAAGGGTTTTTGCCGCCCAACAAATTGATAAATTGGTTTTGATAGTTGATTTTTTTGCATGGAAAAATGGAATCGGAAGGAATTTTCACTACCCAATGAATTGATATTTAGGGTTTACAGTGTTAGAGAGCACAAACTACTGGAAAAATGAAAATATCATCCCATGCTTCTGTATTATCACGCCTTATCTAATCAAGTCTCTGTACTTTTAATTTGTCCAATCGAGTTTTTCTATTTTCACAAATTTTCTAATCAAGTCATTCCGACACTAAATCCGACCGAATTCAGGTGATATGACTATTGGACGAAGCCAAAATATGATGCTGGTAAAATATGCAGATTGCCACATTGACATGTGTGGAAAAATTTAGCGGATGTAGATAAATGATGTTGATAAATTTAGCCAATGTGAACGTCCACATGGAAAAAGTTTTATCCACGTCAGACGCCACATCAGTTGTAGGGGTGTCCAAAAAGCCCATGCCGGCCCGGCCTGACCCGACCCTATAATTTGGGTTATTTTGGGGTTGGGTGTTGTCTACGTTGGATAGGGTTTTTAGGTATGAGTATTACTAAGTTTGGATAGGGTTGGGCCCGACCCATTGACACCACAAAACCACCCATGAGCCACAGTCCACACATCTCCCTCTTTCTCCTCAACTCAGAAAAATCAACGCTTTCTCTCTCTTCTGTATCTCCTTCTTCTATGACATGATCGAGGGCTTCGGGGATGCTCTTCTCCTTCGCATTCTCCTATTGAATTCGTGGCGAGATTCGCTTCCCCCTCCCCCCTCCTTCCTCCGGCGCATCCCGATTTGATCCGATTCGATTCGATTAGGGTTTCGATTTCCTTTCATCCACTCCTCTCGACGGGACCGGAAAGTCAGCGCCTTTGCTCGCCCGCTCCCTCGCCGTTCCTCCGACCAAGCCTCGGCTCCGGCGTCCCTGCGATCGTCAATTGAATCCTCCGGTTGTGGATTTCCCTTTTGGTGTGGGCGGTGCTGTTCTTCAGGGGAGAAAGCGAGGACCTTTTTTCTGTTTTGGGACATCTCTTTTCGTTGATTGGGACGGTTCTTTGCCCGATTTAGGCTCTGCCTTTTGCTTTTGCGTTTTGATTTGATTCGTCTCGAATGGTGAGTTCGGAGGGATTGAGGGAGTCGCCGCCCCCCGTGCCGGCGATCGCGATGGCTGCAAGGCAATTCGGGGTTACAAAGCCGATTTCGGTGTTAGGGCCCAACGAAGCCGATGTTCAGAGAAGCATGGAGTTGGAGAAGGATGAAAAAACTGGAAAGGTCGTAATTGAGTGACGAACCCGAACCCCGACCCGGCCTAACCCGACCCGACTCGGACCTTGGGGTATATGCTGAACAGGGTCTTGGGCCGGGTCTGGGCGGGCCAAGCACAACCCTATTGATTTTGGGTCAGGTAGGGTATCATGAAAGCCCGAGCCGACCCGACCCATTGACACTCCTAATTAGTTGGATTTGGCGTCGAAGGAATTTGATTAGAAATTGTAAAAGTAGAAGGACAATATTAGACAAATTCAAAGTCTATGGACTTGATTAGAATAATTGTGGCACCCACAAATGTCATGTCAAAGTCATAAATTAACATAACTCCGCACAGCGGAATTACAAAACTCCCAAACATTGTGTCATGATTTTCAAGACTTGTTGTGCAAAATTTTCTCTTTTTATTAATAAAAAGAAATTTCGGATTATGTAATTACTACATCATTTGTTAGTGGTGACTAAGCAATTCTCTTCAAATCCTGCATACCAAAGTCGGTTTTATCACTTGACATGCCAACACTATTTCAGCATGCTACACAACATATCAGCAGTGCAAACGATCCATGCCATGCTATATTATTCAAGATTTATTTCCAAATAAATTTTGGATTATATGCTACTTATGCTATCATATATTTACTGTATATCGTAGTATAGATGCAGGATGGAATTCATATAATATAGAACGATGCCGACTTCATACACCTCTCTATGCAAATATTTTATTCACAAATCACAATCAAACAAAGTGTTCGCAGATTATAGGAGAAAAACATTAACAGTTGAAGAGACTTGATGGTGTCTTCAATTATCAGTGGCAATAATTGCATTTTATATGCTAACATCTCAAGGAAAAGACAGAGGAAGAGGAATACAAAAACAAATGATGATAGACCAAAGCCTAATAAGACAGCAGCGAGGGGTTGTCGCAGATCAGCATGCGGACAAGAGCAGTACTCTCACGTGTGGCAAGACGATAAATGTTTTCTTTCAGCATCCGGGAAGCCGTGCATGTAGCATCTTCTCCACCTCCAACCAACAGATAATCAATTTCATTTGATTGGATCCATCAAATCATATTCTGAATGAACAGAGAGAGAGAGAGAGAGACCGCATGTTATAATCTCTTGATGGCATTGGCGAGTAGAAGACAAGAAGGGCCGACACCTATTCACCATTGGCATTTTCTTATAACACGACATCAACGTCATGACTGGTCATAAAATCGTATCATAGCATTCTAACGTGCCGTCGCTGTAAGTGCAAGATAATTGTAAAGAAAGAGAATAGTGACCGCCATTATCTTATTAAATTATAAATTGCGTGCAAATTGCTACGAGTCAGGGCTATATGCACAAACCAAAAGTCTAGACTTAATCGATGTATGGGATGTTCCACGAGCCTCCGAATAATTGGGCTTTATATAAAGCAAAAGGAAGCACGGCACATCTGGTGTGACACGTGTCTATGAATATGTCAAGAAAAACTGCTAGCACTAATTTGTTTCGTTGTAGAAGCAGAACATTTGCAATTTGGCTCCTTTTCGACTTTCAGCTTGAAAAGGATTCTGCATGAACAAGAAGGTAGAAAGAATCTTGCCCACATTGTGAGGGCCCTTTGGTTTTTTGGTGATAATCTGGCTAGACTACTTATCGTCGGTGGCTGCTTATAGGCAAGAAGCGTTATTAGCTTTGGATCTTGATTTATGTTCCATGTTGCTGAGGTTTAGAATAAATCCCGCGATTTCTTTTCCTTTCAAAAAGACGGTGAAGCACTTAATTTGAAGATATCCCGAAGAGGGCTCTCCGCTGCAACACGATAACTGTAAATGATAATGGCTAACAACATAACTCGACTCACGTATTTAGATTTATTCGTCTAGTTCACCAACTAAGAAACGGTATCTGAAAATGACCAAGAATCTAGGTACAACCTGTCTAATAACTCGATATGATAAGCATTTTCATTTAGGGCAAGGCAATGAAATTACCCCCAAACTCTTGTTTGAATGACTGATGTTCATGTTCATATATGACTTATGCTTGAGATTATTGAATGCTAGCTGATGTTCAGGGGCGAGAGGTAGAGAGAGGGAGTACGAACGAGGAGGCTGAAGCCGGAGACGGAGGCGAGGGAGACGGCCATGGCGGTGCTGGAGAGGGAGAGCTCGCCGAGGTGGCCGACCATCACGACGGAGATAATCTGGAGGAGGTACTGCGACGACGCCACCACCACCATCGGCGCCGCAATGCGCCCCACCCTCTTCACCTCCTCCCCCACTCCTCCCCCACTCCTCCCCACGTGATGCCATCGCTCTTGCTTTCTTCTGCCGCCTCCTCCCTCTTCACCAGCAGCCTCTCCTCCATCATCTGCTTCGTCTCTTCATCCATGGAAGAGCCGAGAAGGACTAGTAAACGGGAATCGGGATCTCTCCGCCGCCCACCTTCCGCTTCTGTTAATATGAAGACTTGGGGGAGAGAGAGAGAGAGAGAGAGAGAGAGAGAGAGAGAGAGAGAGAGAGAGAGAGAGAGAGAGAGAGAGAGAGAGAGAGAGAGAGAGAGGGACTGAATGTCCATGTGGGAGATGGCATTTTACAGGTAGGTAGGTAGGTGGTGGGAAGTGATGGCGGAAGAATATCGCGTGTGTATCTAGCTGGCATCGTCCTTTTCTGTACTCTCGAAGGCGAGGACGGATGCAACACCATGAGTCAACGACGCCGAACGCATGTCGTGGTTTTGACAGGAAGTGTCGGGACGTATCAATTTGAGGGAAGACTTCATGTCAACTTGTCATTGTCTCCGAATTTATGTCGCTGGAAGAATAGGTGAGCATGGATTTAGGGCTAGTTTGGTTTCGCTTTTCAAATGTTACCCGGAGGAATGCAAATATCTTTAAATAAAAGTCACTTGTGAAAATGCAAGTGGTATTTGATAAAAAAAAATTTGTAAAGCTACTTTGACCTAAGTAATGTTTGGTAAATTTTTTTTTGTAAAGGGCTTTGGCAATTTTTATTTTTAATATTCCGATTTTACCCCTATTACTGTTCATCTTCTTCACCGTGAGGGTGGCCGGCGAAGGGCCAGCGAGGTCACCCGACCCAGGCGAAGGCCGCCTGGGGTCGGGTGACCGCCCAGGCGCCGTCGCCTGGGTCGCGCGACCTCAGGCGACGTCAGCCTGGGTCGCGACCCAGGCTGTCGTCGCTTGGAGTCGCGCGACCCAGGCAACCGTCGCATGGGTCGCGCGACCTCAGGTGATCGTCGCTTGGAGTCGCGCAACCCAGGCAACCGTCGCTTGGAGTCGCGCGACCTCAGGCGGCGGCGGCGGCGACGGCGGCGGCGGCGGCGACGGCGGCGTCGGCGGCGGAAAACCTTCACCCGGCTCGGTTCCAAGGGACAAGTGTCGCGTGATCATGATCGAGGAATTGAAGCGGCAGGCGAGTCTGTCGGGCCCGCTGATCGGGGTGAACATGCTGCAGTACAGCGTGCAGGTGATCTCCGTCATGTTCATGGGCCACCTCGGGGAGCTCCCCCTCTCCGCCGCGTCCATGGCCACCTCCTTCGCTTCCGTCACAAGCTTCAGCATCTTGGTACCGCTCTCTACTCCGTCGCTTTCTCGTGCATCACCATTGATGTTCCTGTTGCTGCTCGTTTCTTATTGTTGTGTGTGCGCGGGGTTTGTCTTCTGATGATGTTGGTCTTGCTAGTCGAAAGAAAGAGAGACATTAGACAAAATGGTTTGAGGAAAATGTGTTCTGAAGGAGGTGACACATCAGCACGAAACACGGGAATTGAGCGAGGCAGGAAATGTATTAACACAATAATACCCATCTTTACCGTAACATTGAGGAAATTGGAAAGGAAAATAAGTTCAATTTGTCGCCTCGAGGCCACATTCGAGTACTGAATTTGAAGAAGCAAGTGGTAAAATGTGATTTTAGAGTTTCGGTATCCTTGTCTCTGAACATGTATTGTGCTTCTCTGGTATTGAATTTCCACGCGCGACAGCGCTCGTGGAAATGACATGTTATATCTGCTGAGGTCGACTGTGCTTTGAGCATGATTCCTAGGTTGTGTATACTTAGATCTTCATTTTGTTTGCAAACTAAAATGTCTCGACCAAAATGTCTGATGAAAGCTAGGAATGGGAAGTGCATTGGAGACACTGTGTGGCCAAGCCTATGGAGCCAAAGAGTATCATATGCTTGGAGTTCACACGCAACGAGCTATGCTTACGCTTCTATGCCTAAGCATCCCTCTTGCAGTCATATGGCTCTACACCTCCGACATTCTCGTAGCTTTTGGCCAAAACGTGGAGATTTCCAGGGAAGCGGGAACTTTCAACCGTTGGATGATCCCAAGTCTATTCGCGTATGTCCTCCGATGTCTGAACAGGTTCTTGCAGACGCAAAATAACGTTCTACCGATGATGATGAGCTCTCTGGTTATTGCTTCTCTTCACATAGTCGTCTGTTGGGTCTTCATCTTTAAGTTTGGACTAGGAATAAGAGGAGTTGCTTTGGCGAACACGATTTCGAATTGGAACAATGTGATTCTGCTGGCGATTTACGTGAAGCTCTCTCTAGCTTGTATCAAAACTTGGACCGGTTTCACAAGAGAGACCTTGCTTGACCTTGTTAGCTTCGTCAAGCTTGCTGTTCCTTCAGCAGTTATGATTTAGTGAGTACCTATTTGTGCTTATGTTTGCTAATGCGATGCCAAAATTTATGATCAAAAGAAAAGATTAGTAGCTGTTTGGTTTTTTCGAAGCGTTTTGATGATAGTTGGTCAAACTGTATTAATCTAAGTCCCCTATTTCAGAAGTGAGAGTCCTAGCCTTGAACTAGTTTACTCACATCACTTGTCTCTTGATTTACTTTCTTTCGCAGTTTCGAGTACTGGTCCTTCGAGCTGGTCGTTCTTCTATCAGGTCTTCTGCCAAATCCGAAACTAGAGACGTCTGTGTTATCAATTAGGTATGAATTGAAAGAATTTGTATTTTCGTGGAATGAGAAGTTTAGAACTACGTTCATACCTTCAATTTTGCAGCCTCAACACTTGTTGGATGGTCTACATGATCTCTGTCGGTCTCGGCGGAGCAATCAGGTTTGTTTGAGTCATTTGCTTCAGTTGTGCAGTTTACTATGAGTTAGAAATAAAAAGAAAAGAAGAGAACAAATTTTGCTTGGCATTAACTTCACTAAGATAAATTCCTAGACTAGGAGGGGAGGGTAAAAGATGGGATTCTGTGAGGACAAGCTCGCAGGAGTCTTGATACTGTGGTACAGAATGAGACAAATGCATTGACTGCCAAATGTTGGATCATCTTTTTTTTTTATCCAGAATTAGATAAAATATTGTCGCGACCTTCCCAAACCGGCGCTCGCCGCCTAAGGGATTTGGCTAATGAATTACTAAGTTTAAACCTAGTTCGAGCTCTCCCAAGCCTATACCAATTCGCGACATAGATTTTGAGTTATTAACAGGCGAATCAATTTCATCTAGGAGTCGCCACTAATCAGTTTTTGGTAAGTCGATCGGACACCCAAGTAAAGCACGGGAGAAATGTTTCACTTCTACGAACCAGAGACTCAATGGGTACGGGAACTTGATTACACTAATTGACCAACTAGTATCCTTTCGGTACCTAACCTTATTCAATCACCACCTAACATGTTCACACTAATTGGGAATCTCAAAATTCCATCCCTAACCAAGCTAAGGGAAGCAACAATCAACACATGAACCCAACATGCATAATCAACCACATGCGAGGTTAAATTAAACGGGCATTTCAAAGTGTGTGAATCAAGCAACGTGCAATCAAACAAGATACCAATCATACAAAAGGGCAAGAAAAACCAATTCCAAATCCCAAATAATGTTTTTAATTTTCGAAATTTCTTAAAAAAAATTTAATTTTTTTTAAATTTTTGAATTTTCTGCATTTTTTTTAATGTTTTTCAGACTTTTTAATTTTTTTTACTACTAAACATTTTCGAATTTTTTTAATTTTAGAATATTTTTTTATATTTTTATTAATAAAATAAAGATTCCGGACCGGGTCCCTTGACCCGATCCGCCCGACACCTGACCCGACTCTCTCTGACCCGCTCGGGATCTTTTTCCTATTTCTTTTCTTATTTTCTCTCTTTTCTTTTTTTTTTCTTTCCTTTTTTTTGTTTCTTTTTTCTCTTTTGTCTTTTCTGGTCTTCCTTTCCTCCTTCGTGCCTTCTACCCAGAATATCCTCTTCTTCATACTGTTCTTCACCGAGGCCTCCCCCACGCATCCAGTCGAGACCACGCCGTGACCACCTCTTCACCCCCGACTGTCGGCACGCGTCGCCAACACTGGTGGCCGCCATTGGACCCACACTCTCACCGCTGGCTGCCGCCTCCACCGAACCATAAACTAACTCCGGCTATGAAAAATTACGCGAGCGACCGAACGTTGGTGTCGACTTACCCCTTTTTCTCCGAATCTCAAACAGATCTAAAGCTCTAAATCTACACGTACATAAACACACAAAACAAAGATGAGAAACTGACTGCAACGGCCTCTAACCACGGGCATCGATCCGGCGACGAAGAGCTTTTCGGCAGGTAGGGAATGCACACATGACCGACTCATACCGGAGTTAACATGCCATAAAATCACACGAAATCAAGGAGTCAGTGACCAAACATCAATCTTAAATGAACAAAACATATATCGAAGATTCTATGCATTGATTTCATGTTTCTTTTTAGTTTGGGCCTTCACTCAGGCATTTTATCAAACGAGTGGTATGCGAGTTCAAACGAAAACTTCAGGCCGAGATTCAAGGTGATATATGGCTCAAACGTGCTGTGTGGTGCTTTGCACAATCACATTTTGCAACAAAGTGGTCACGGTTTGCAAAAGAACGCTGAATAATGGCACACAGATCCGACGTTTGAAGCTTGAAGGGCTTCTTTCAGGCATTTTAACAAATACGTGGGAGGGGACTGAGAGATGGATTTTCTGGGCTGATTTTGACACGATTCATGGATTCTCTTCGACATACAACGTTTAAGAACACTTCTTTGAACGTATAACAAGCATTATCCTCCTTTGGTGGGGGCCGGGCGGTCACCGAATAGATTCGTTGTGCCCGGCACCCGAAAGGCAAGGGACGGGGACTCAAAACAGGGGAAGATGAAGAGAGCCCACCTGGTTCGGGGCTGACCGGGATGAATCACGGCTGTCGGAGACTCGACGGGGGCCGACGGTAACTCAGACGGACGGCGAGCGAACGCGGAAAGCTATCCCTTTTCCGATTCACTCCCAAACTCTCTTCCCCTCTCTCCTCTCGTTCTCGCTTCCTTTTTTTGCTCTCTGCTCTGGACGTGTGTTGACTGAGAGAACGAAGAAAGCTCTGCCCTATTTTGTCTCTTCTTGCAGCTTTTCTTTTTAATGAAATATGCAGACTACTTTCTTCTGTGTCCTTTCCCCCTTTTCTTCTTTTTCGTAAGTGTGCCCAAAGGGGGACCTTCTTTTGTCTTCTCTCTCCTATTTTTTTCTTTTTTTCAAAATTTTTATAATGATTTTCTAAATAAAAAATAAAATAAAATAAAATAAAAGGAAAATATGTTTTATTAAATTCTATTAATGTAAATGCACCTACTATCTATGTGCCATGTAATTTAATGAAAATATTTTTGTTCAGGGGTTAAAAATTAATCCCTAATTTTCTATGCAGTTAAACCCTAAATAACTAGGCAAAATTTAGGTGTTAACAGCTGCCCCTTTTCGAAGGGAACTTCAACGAAGTTCCATTCGAAGACAAAAAGGCACTTATATTTTGCCCGAGAAGGATATGGGATGATGCAGTGGCCTAGGGAGTGAGAGATGATTTACTTATTTATAAATTTTGATTTTGATTTTTTTTATATTTTTTAGTTTTGATTTTTTTTGTACGAAATAAAACTAAAAGGACGCCTAGGGACTAGAACCCTATGAACATCGAAAACTCTGTTTAGGGACTAAAACCCTATGAACGGCTAAAGTGAAGGGAATAAAACCCTGAAAGCACGCCTAGGGACTAAAACCCTATGAATGTCAATTGATTCTGCCTAGGGACTAAAATCCTATGAACGGCAAAGGGACTAAAACCCAGAAAGTACACCTAGGGACTAAAATCCTATGAACGTCAAAGGCTCTGCCTAGGGACCAAAACCCTATGAACGGCAAAGGGACTAAAACCCAGAAAGTACACCTAGGGACTAAAATCCTATGAACGTCAAAGGCTCCGCCTAGGGACCAAAACCCTGTGAACGGCAATAGATCCCGCCTAGGTACCTTGAAGGAACGCCTAGGGACTAAAATCCTATGAACGTCAAAGATTCTGCCTAGGGACTAAAATCCTATGAACGGCAAAGGAACTAAAACCCAGAAAGTATGCCTAGAGACTAAAATCCTATGAATGTCAAAGGCTCCGCCTAGGGACCAAAACCCTATGAACGACAATAGATCCTGCCTAGGGACTAAAACCTTATAAACGGCAATAGAAATAACACTTTGAAGGAACGCCTATGGACTAAAACCCTATGAACGGCAAAATGACTAAAACCCAGAAAGTACACCTAGGAACTAAACCCTATGAACGTCAAAAGCTCCGCCTAGGGACTAAAACCCTATGAATGTCAAAGACTCCGCCTAGGGACTAAAACCCTATGAACGGCAATATAAACATCTTATTGAAGTAACGCCTAGGGACTACAACCTTATGAATGTCGAGGATTCCACCTAGGGACTAAAACCCTATGAACAGCTAAGATCCCGCCTATGGGTTAAACCCCTATGAGCGGCAATAGGAATAACACCTTGAAGGAACGCTTAGGGGCTAAAACCCTATGAATGTTGAAGATTCCGCCTAGGGGCTAAAACCCTATGAACGGCAATAGGAACAACACCTTGATGGAAAGCCTAGAACCCTTTGAAATCGGTGTTTCAGGAAAGACCCAGAACCTTTTGAAATCGAGGTTTAAGGAAAGACCCGGAACCTTTTGAAATCAGGGTTTCAAGAAAGACCCATAACCTTTTGAAATCGGGGTTTAAGGGAAGACCCGGAATCTTTTGAAATCAGGGTTTTAGGAAAGACCCAGAACCTTTTGAAATCGGACTTTAAGGGAAGACCCATAACCTTTTGAAATCGGGGTTTAAAGGAGGACCCGGAACCTTGTGAAATCAAGGTTTTAGGAAAGACCCAGAACCTTTTGAAATCGAGATTTAAGGAAAGACCCGGAACCTTTTGAAATCAAGATTTAAGAGAAGACCCGGAATCTTTTGAAATCGGGGTTTAAGGAAAGACCCGGAACCTTTTGAAATCGCAATTTAAGGGAAGACCCAGAACCTTTTGAATTCAATATTTCAGAAAAGACCTTAAAACCTTTTGAAATCGGGGTTTAAGGAAAGGCCCGGAACCTTTTGAAATCAAGGTTTCACGTGGGGAGACCTGTCATGTAAAGAAAGAAACTCTGGGTAGGTCGTTGGGGTGCTCCGAGCTGCAAAAACTCATTGTGCAAGGAAAAAGACTCAGGGCTGCGAAAGCTTGCCAGGTCGATAGAGTGCTCCGGGCTGCGAAAGCTCACCATATCTATCAAATATTGAGGAAATTCTGAGGAGGCATCTGCACATCTAACGGAACTGTTATAACAAGTGCTCTGATAGCGAATGCGTACCAGGCAAGATAACGTCATGAGAGGCAATATCAAAATGGTATCATCAATGAGAAAGCATTGATTGCAAGAGCAATTCAAGCTAGTTTCGATTGTTTGAAAAATATTTTGCATCATTCAATATCACAAAATTGCCAATGGGCTTGAAAGTATCATCAATCATCAAATTCCCTTAGGAGAAAAGTTTTTGTCAAAATGATCTTGACTCGTAAAAAGGGTTCGTTAAATATGCCAAACAAAAGCTCCTTAGTCGGAAAAGGCTTCTCACATACTCTCGAGAAGGCAGTTTGATCCCATCCATTAATGTGGGAAGAAAACATGATCTCTCCGTATACCTCACACTACCAGTGTCGAAGGCTTCGAGGATCATTCGCGATAAGTACACATCAACCAATCTCAGAGATCTTTTAAAGGACTGTAATGTGGGTTTGATCGTGGTTTCAACAATAGATAAGCATTATCGGCCAAGAAATGAAA